AGCCCCGTCCCGTATCTATGCAAATAACAGTTTGTGATGCCACAGTGGGCTGGGGGGGGGGGGGGGGACATTCCATTAATCGGTAACTTTCCCCAAACAGGCGACACGATGAGGGAGGCGACCACAATATGCAGGTCCAACTTCAAGGTAAGATGCTCGTCTCTCACCCGGGGGACGAAGTCTCTGGCTGGAGTCAAGGTCGGAAGGCACTGAAATAAAAGCGCTGCAGTTCTGGCACGTTTGTGCTCTTGGGGAGTGAGATGGGGAGGGGGGGGCGGGGGGTGCCGGCAAGCAGGGGAATTTGCTCGTGTCGTTCTGAAGTTCTCTGAGTCTGCTTATCTGTGGGGACGTGACATGGGTGAAGGAGAGAGATGATGACACGTCACTTCCAAAGTGGCCAGACAGGCAGGATCTGGAGACGGCAGGTAGCACAGGGCTTAAGTCCCCCCCCCCAGGTACCTTAGAACAAGACGCTAAGCTGGAATCGCAGGCATGGATCAGTGGTGCTGCTGGCTGAGCATAAAAAATGTGAATGAATTGTGTATATATATATAATGATGATGATAATGAATAATAATAATAATAAGTCATTCTCGTAGTACATGTATTGGACCATGAAGCAGCAGCTGGCCCACCACACTGTTAACGGCTGCAACGTCAGGGCCGGAGACCTGCTGGCTTCCGGAACCATCAGCGGCCCGGTGAGTAAGGGACCCCTGTCTGTGCGGTGGCCAGGCGCACTTGGGGCAGAGCCAGCGCACGCCGGCCTCACATCTTGCCAAATTTTGCCGCTCAGGATGCGCACAGCTACGGCTCCATGCTGGAGCTCTCCTGGAGGGGCTCCAAGACCATCGACCTGGGCGGTGGCGAGACCCGCACCTTCCTGAAGGACGGCGACGAGGTCTCTCTCACAGGTCTGCGCCGCCATTTCAGAATTATATATTGTAAAAGGTTAATATTTACATACTGTGAAAAAGGTGTTAATTTTTAAAAGTCAGTGTATGTAAATAATGCAAATTAATAACCAAACCACATAGAATTGACCCAGGTATTTGACCTAGTTCAAAATAGGAGGGCCACACCTGAGATTTGATGAAGGACAGACCGTCTCATCCATCTCTTCATAGCTCTGTATCCACCAGAAAGAACCAAGAAAAGTATAGCATTAAAACCTGAATGTGTACCAGATTGGGAGAGTTTTATTCCAAGTAAGAGGCAGTGTAGCCTTTTAGGAGATGTGATGTCAGGCTGTTTTTTTAAGATAAAAAGGGAGCGAAGAGTGACTTCCTTCAGAACACTGTGACTCAGGAACATATCAACACCGGCTCTGGTTCCTGCTTCAGGTTATTGTCAAGGCAATGGGTACCGTGTGGGCTTTGGGTCCTGCAAGGGGGTCGTCCTGCCTGTACTGCAACCCTGAGGCACCGGCAGTGGCCTGCGGGGTGGAGGAGCCGGAGCTGGATGGGGGCGGCAGAGGAGGTGCAGCATGGACGTTTGCGTCAGGGCGCCTCCTGTAGACGTCTAAGGCTCTTTAATTAAAACCATGGTGAAGACAACCCTCCGTTGCTGTGTTTCATTTTATTTTCACAAGCGTTTTGATCATATTTTCAAAGACAGCCCTTGTTTGTAATTCTGAGACATTATCTGCCGAATTGTTTGTGCCGTCGCACGTGTTTTGAAATTTAATTACGCGGTCCTCATCTGATTTCTCCCTGCGCTATCAGTCCGGCCCATTTTGTGCCGTGGTGATTAATTAGCCCTGATTCTGAACATGTGCCGATTATGCGGCCTACGTACAAAGCGCGGTCTGGGAAACCATATGCAATTAATGAAGATAAACGAGAGAGGAGGTCTCCTGCTTCAGAGAGGACCTAGATTTAAGATTTATCAGATTTAAAGAAAAATAAACAATGCATTTGTGCACTGGAACTGTTACAGAACGCCTTGGACTACAGCACCCAGAAACATTGCTGTTGTTGGTCATTGAGTCCTGTTCCCTTTCTGGGCATGCATGACATCCAGAATGGGCTGTGGCCGGGTTCTTCATTCTAATTAAAGAGGACAGCAGTGGTATATTGGGACTGGTTAGTTTAATTGGCCAACTACTGGCATAGCCTATGTTAATTATACTCAAATTGACATAATTATGTATTCCTTTCCTGACCTCAATAATTGGACATGATTTGTTCATTACGTTGAGCATTCAGTTAGTCACTGAGATCAGTATTCATGTGTTAATTTTGTTATAATCACATGTCTTACGGTGGGGCATGGGGAAGGAGAAATTAGCCATATACTGTAGCGGCTCCAACAAACCAGGGTTTATTTAACAAAACAGAACACAAAGAGAGAACGAGAACACAAAGGGATCATGAGTCAAAACTCAACTAAGTCAGGGAGCAACACCAAGAACAACAATACCAAAGGAAGGGAGTAACTAACATGGGGTAGCAACAACTGATTATCAGACAGCTAACACAGGAAAACAGCCACAATAAACCACTGAGAAACAGAACAAGAGCAGACACTTAAATATATTACTAATAAGATATGGTGCAGGACAGGTGAGAACCTTAACCAAATGAACCAATAACCAGGACTCAGGGCAACAAGGAACAAGTGGGGTATATTACACCTAAAATGCACTAGAGACTAGGAAACATTAACAACGACACTAGGAGCACAAGTAAAATAGAAAATAAGGCACGGGCAGGGTAACCATTAACAAGGACTCAAAAGCAAAGACATTAGCAATACCAGACATGTGGGGATTAAATAAAACTGAAATACTTAAGAAGAGGTGAGACTGGCCTCGGGCTGCCCTCAAGCTAATGATGCAGGGGGTTTCTGCCTCTCAGGGACATGCACAGCCCACAGAGCCACGCTGTGGCCCCAGGAGCAGAGGGCAACACTGAGTGGGATGACCAGCGGGAACTGCTGGCCAAACGGGGAAGAGGCAACTGGGACAGGGCCCGACAGGCACCGACCCTGACTAAGTCCCTGTGGATGAGTTTTTCTAGAACATCATTAACTCATTTACTATAAGCAGCTTCTTTCATTTGTTAGATGCCAGAGTTTTCTACTATTCATGTGGGCTCCTGTGGCCACAAGTAAAACCATAGGCCTAGTAAATTCATTCAAGCATAAAAATATGTCACACCTTTGAAAAAACAGACCAGTTTCCACTTCGTCTGGTCAGTAAGGGAGCGACTCAGCTCAGTGATCACCTAGGTCAGGTTTTAAAAGTTTTTTTCCTCATTTAAACTCCTCACTATTCAGACATACCTCAGGTAATAATGAGCTTTTTCCCGCGCAGCATAAATCACACGGGCTCATATATTGACGGCTATATCTTTCACATCTTTTTTTTGTCTGTTTTGAGTTTCCTTAAGGATTCCCAGAAAGGAGGAACTGAGTGTAGAATTGCCACCCGTCCCAATCTGAAAAATAAAATGCTGTGTGTCATTTTGTACCAATATGGGATGCGATTTCTCCGGTATTTTCGAAGGTGGTCACCCTAATCGAGTGAAATGCAGCCATAGTCCCAGGCGGCTTACATTCCTTCACTGTTTTTTCCCAAATGCTTCACGTACCTTTTCTGTACAATTCATCCAGATGGAGGTTATGATTATTATTGAAATAGTCCGGACAAGCAGTGCCACTGCCCGCCCCAACTCTCGGGTGAACGGCTCTCATTTGTCCATACCAAGTGATAATCTCACTTAATGCCTGCCTGTACCCCCCCTCNCCCCCCCCACACACACACCTCCAGCAGGGATTCTGAATATGGTGCCTCATACTCCGCAAAAACCCAACACTCTCTAGTGAAATCATTCATGCTCACACAAACGATGCAAAAATGTGATTTACCTTTAATGCCACATTAATATAATAATTTGATCAAACCATTCCAAACCGTTTCCAAATACCATTCCAGCAATAAAGCAAGACCAGAGGCACGGCTGACTTGGTTACACAGTGCAGTTTCAAGAAAACAAACAAAAAAAAAAATTGCCTTGCAGCATGATAGCTGGTTAACTCAACATCTGCAAACAGGGAGAACATTGCGAAATGCGGTTGGAAAAAAAAGTCATAATTATGCATAATAGATGCACTCCTTTCCACATATGGAAAATCTGAGTGTGCACAGCCCTGATCCCAGTTAACGCCGGCAGCAGAAGAGGCCAGATATAGCAGAACCGCCAAGAAAAATACAGGGATACGGCATAGATGTTGATAGAAATACAGTAAACCTACAGGAGATATTCTTGACAAGGAACAGCCATGGAAGGATATACATATATTAATATACATATGCACACACCAACCTGCATACTCAAGTAAATAAAATGTCTTGCCACATGCAATATATCATATTATATATAATTAATTTATCATATTAATATCAGTGGTTTATGCTTCAGATTTCCAATCATTGATCAAAAAAAACGGAAATCTGTTTGCATTAAACAAGGGCTGAACTCAGCGGATCCAATGAGCTAAAGTGAGTTAGAGCTGCAGGCGCGAATCGGCCTTTTCGGCTGTTAGCCTCCCATCCATAAATCAGTTATCACTTCATTTAACGTTCGAACGAGCTCTCGGTGTCTCGCACTCATGTCCGTTCATTCATAAAAAGATTTAATACGCTTGTATTAAGTCCTGGAAGTGCTGGAAATACCTGCTTCTTCGGCTCAACAAACATTTATCCCGGATACAGAAATATGTCTCCATGCTGGTCAGTAAGTAATAATCCACTGTCGGGTGTAGGTCTACTTAACCCGTGTGTTGTGGGCCCGATGTCAAAAGGTATTTATTTACTTCATGCGTAAAAACTGTAAGGAAATGAATCACCGATTAGGTTCACGATTCTAGCTGTCCGAGGTTTAACAGTAACCCGTTTTTTAAACGTTAAGTGACATTAAAATGATAAAAATGAACCAGCCTAGAGGATGTAACCAGTGAAAATATTATAAAAAATAAATAAATACAGAACTCGTGCGTATTTTAATACTGATTTTAATGGTCAGTTTTTTTGTCTGCTGAATGTTACACCCACTACAAGCTGAATTTTGCTTGTCAATGTTTGCACTGCGCTCTGTGGTTCTGCCCCTCACAGTGTGCTGAGGTTTAAAGATGGTTCTGTGGCTTTGGCTAAGGCTCTTTGTGGCATGCAACCGAGGATGTGATCTTGTGAGCGGTTTGAAACACTTCTCAGAGACATAACTCAACGGTACCAGAAGGTACTTAGAGCAGCTGACATGGCTGCTTGGTCAGACCCCTTAAGCATGGGAGAGACAGTTTGATTTGTGCCCCCGTGTTACTCCTTCAACCAATAGTGCTCATGACCGCTTTGGTTTTCAGTGCTGGAACAGAATGTCCATTTTCGCTCTGGCTTCAGTAAGATGGTCTTATATGTGATTTTATAGACAGACCTATACTCTCAGAAAGTCACCTGCAAATGACTGGAGGAGAGCAGCTACAGAGACTCAAAATTATAACTCAAATCATCACGCATATGAATTAAATGTTTCCAGGAAAGTGAGTAATGAATCCCGTGGCTTTTGGCAGTCAACTGTGGGGCCCCCTGCTTATGACCAAACATTTCAAAAACCTCAGCTAAATTTCCCAAAGTCAGTTCTGGCAACTTATGCTGTCTAGGTATATCCACAGAGCTAGCGGTTAAACCAGAGAGTGTGAATACAGAAGTATTATGAATGTTACCTTTCGTCCGACATACCTGCCAAAAATATCATCCTATTAACCTGGACAATATGAAAAGCATATAAGTGAGATGTTTTGGCAAGATGGATGATGTTTGTGTTTACAGAGACACGCTTCTTTAATTCCAATGTGCAGGTAACATTTTTGACTGGATGAAACATAACCACTTCCCCCGATCTGGAATGATCCGGAATGATCCGGAACGGGAAATGGGGAGACGTCTCCCCATTTGACACAGGATCTGTTTAACACGTCCATCATGAGGCTCTTCGTTGGCCCTCTCTTTTGGGGGGTTCTTTTAATGGGGTCAGGGTCCTTATAATGCAGGGTAAAAATGCCCCCCCACCAGATCAAGCCAGACTGCAGGCCTTTTCCCTCCATCAGGCGAGGCCCATGGGAATCTCTGGGGCTTCTCTGCCCAGTTTCTGCCGGTTCACCGGCACGTCCCGGGGGGGCTTCCCCCCACCCATCCGCTGCGCCCCCCCCGTTAGTCATCCAGGTGCTGCTCCTCCCAGGTGGAGGTGGGGATGGCGCTGTACGGATCCATGATGACCTTGGCGCAGCGGATGATCATGGCCACCAGCAGGAAGCAGAGGAAGGCGATGCATGCCAGGGTCAGCCCCTGGTCCACGTCGACAAAGGCCGGGTCAGGGGTTGTCTCCTCCATCGCTTCGGTGTGTCCTCATTGGCCGCCTCGGCTACCATCCTGCTGTTTCACCTGAGAAGCACAGCGATGAAGGATAGACGGCAAAATGATGTACTTCAGCGTTTCCCAGTCCGCTCCTTGGGGACCCTCAGACAGTCCGTGTTTTTGCTCCTTCCCGGCTCCCGACTGTCCGGCAGTCGCCAAGGGTCGGCTTGGCAAACACTGATCTCCTTCACATAGCGGCCTCTGTAGAGATGTTGTTAATGGCTAGTACATGTAGTTTACCTCATATTTACCCGTAATTGCATAGGAGCAGGATGATGCATCTTTATTAACCCAGTCTAAAAAGTCTAATCTAAATTTACAGTTGCTTATATAGCAGAGAGTTATTTCCAAATTGACATGCAAGTGAAGCAAATAGCACATTACAAACAGAGTTGTATTTTTATTAAAATAAATGCTAAAAGACATCTGGTACTCATTGAAGTCTGAATTTTAGGCATTTGTAACATACTGATAGGTGTATCCATCACGCACAGTAGCTCAGTGGGGGGGCCCTACAAGCTGGTACCTGATTACCAACCACGTGCGGGTGCCCTGCATCGGACTGACATCCTGTCTGGGGTGTTGCCTGTACTGAACAGGTGATATGTAAGATGGATCTGTCAAGCAATCAATATATAACACTGGCATTTCAATTCGGCACATTTTAAGTCTGAAGAGGAATAAAATCTTTAGGATCAATTAACGATTAATACTCCATGCACATCTTTTAAAAAAGGGCTACATTAAAAAACAACTGCATAAACGTGTCTGTTCAAAATGTATCTTGACCGTGTAATATACAGTGTAAAGAGTGTATGTTTATTTGCCAGAGTGTTGTCCTATTGCAGTTGGCACCGTATCCTCTGTGATGCATCGCCACTCAGAATATCCTACAGCTGATGATGCCCCCTACGTGCACTTTGGTACTGGTCCAGATCCCGCAGCCAGATCCGCGCTGGTGCTGCCAGGCAGGGGCGCCGCTAAGGGGGGGAAAGTTGGGACAATTCTAAGGGCCCACGCCCTTTAGGGCCCCCCAGAGATCTGCTTTATTAATAATAAGTTACCGTAGGGGGGCCCAACCTCATATTTTGTCATAGGGCCCAAAATTGCTAGCGGCGCCCCTGCTGCCAGGGCTTGGAGCGACCCTGCCTGTGCAATCAGTCTGATCTCTCTGCGCTCAGAGGTCACCTGGTCCTGGATCTAATAGAATCTGATCAATCGCTGGGGGCAGAGGATTCAAATCAGTGTGTCAAGAGAAACGGGGGCAGATTAAAATTACACTCGAGGCAATTTAGTGCGGATGGGTTACTGCTTGGTTGCTGTAACTGCGCGAAACCCAGGGTGGATAATAATGGGCTGAGAGGATGTGCTGCAACAAGCGGGTTGCTCGCGGGAGGCTTCTCGTGCTACGCAGGTCAGCGAGCTTGGGCGTCATTTACATTCACATTTACATGTATTCATTTAGCAGCCGCTCTTTGTCAAAGCAACGTACAAGCAAGGCAGATAACACACCACAAGCAGGTGAGGGACCTCAGCGAGGCTAAGCTTCCAGTGAGGGACCTCAGCGAGGCTAAGCTTCCAGTGAGGGACCTCAGCGAGGCTAAGCTTCCAGTGAGGGACCTCAGCGAGGCTAAGCTTCCA